CGCTAAAGTTTCGTCGGAACGAAGTTACGGAAAATCAATTAACAAACGGAGACGTAACAGCATCATATTACCAGACTAATTAAAGTTAAAAACAAAAATATAAAAGGGTATAGTACATACCTGAGGTATGGGTAATGTATATGGATTTTTGGTGTGGAGGTATTCCAATGACATGTTAATTGATTTCTAGAAGCATCTTAATTTAATCAACCTCATGATAGTTCTTCTTAGAAGTTGAAAAAAAGGGTTATTTACATTTTTTGATGTTTTTTGTAAAAAGAGAGTAGCTTTCTATCTATTTCTGTACACTTAGAGCTATTCCAAGTTGCCACCCCACCACATGCAAGATTGTGTCATTCATTATTTTTGGGGAGGCTACCTGTATCAGTGATGTTGCAGATTTAAAGGGAAATCTAGATCATTTGATGCATTGGGCAAATACATAGCAGATGATGTTAAACTATCCAAAATGTAAGGTGATGCATGCAGATTTTCACAATTCAAATTATTGTTACAACATAAATAAGAATACATTAAATACTGTGGTTGAAGAAAAAGATCTTGGTGCTGTGATCTAAAAAATCACTTAAGTCATCTAAACTATTGTAATTAGAAATAGGGCTAAAAAGATTTTGAGTAGCATCTATAGAAATATTGAATACAAGTCAAGGGATGTTATTGTTTCACTGTATAGATTACTTGTAAAGACTCATTTAGAGTACTGTGTATAGTTTTGGGCTCCCTTCCTCAAGAAGAACACTGAATTGTTGGAGAAGGTTCAGGGAAGAGCCACTAGGATGATACCTGAGATGGTGGGACTGTCCGGTGAGGAGAGATTAAAATCTCTAAATTTGTTTTCTCTGGAGAAGAGAATGGTCAGAGGGGATTTGATTGAAATGTTTAAGATTATTAAGGGTATTGATAATATAAATCCATCAAACTTTTTCGTGTTTAGCAGTGAAAATAATAGGACAAGGGGTCATAAATTTACATTTTGGCAGCATAGGAGTCATCTGCAGTTTAGACGGTATCACTTTTCAAACAGGGTGGTTGGCTTTTGGAATGAGCTGCCATTGTGATAGAAGTGAATTTCTTGGATTTGTTTTACAAATGGCACCACTGTACAATATGCTAATTGTACACGTACATTTACTCTAGTACATAAACAAACCTCATGTGTACTTTGTCTACTGAAGATAGTGGATTACATTGGTCATTGAAACATGTACAGAATTTTTTTCTTTAACATTATACAAATAAGGTTACTGTGCACATGGAAGTGTTTGAAATGGTGGTGTAATGATTTTTAATGAAAATAAAACCATACTCCAAGGAAAAATACAACAACAATAACTGAAAGGGAAAGTCAGTATAACCATACAAACATACCTGATTGGCTTTGTTAATCTGTTTTCTTAAGCCAGCAAATGCCATGATGAACTTCTATTAGCAAACTTAGTTTTTTTTAGAATGATTTTGTCAGATCTACAGAAGAAAAAAAGAAGCAGAATTTTCCAACAGAGATCTTTTATTCTTCAGAAGTTTCAATTCAAGTGTGATAATATTATGCTAAAACAAATCTTAAGTTTTTTATTTTAAGTTAAAAATAATTCTATAATACATTGTGATAAAAAATGAGAATACTTGAGAAAATATTTTGTTTAAAACCATCCTACATTTTGTGAAATATGGATTATATTAATGTGTAATTTCTACTACAAATAGCACTTACATTTCCATCATGTTCTTTCCTTAATTTACATTTACACATGTGAATCAAGAAATCAAAATATGGTATTTAGCTTTCTTTTTTAAGAAAAAGCATAGAACAAAAACTATTTCGACTATTAAGGATTTTAAAAGTTGCATTTACCTACAAATAAAGTTGTTTTGAATGGGAGTATACAGATGAATTTTAAAAATTTAATGAGCATAGGTAAGACAATAATGAGTACAACTACAAATAACACTAACAACTAAGTTTGTACTACAACACCCTTCTTTAAGCTAGAGACATAGTTTTAATTTTCAAAGTGGCTAGATACCCAGCAGCCGAGAATGACCTTTCAGATACTAAATACCCAGCAGTCCAAAAATGTTAATAATGTTGAACTACAACAACAACAATAAATAATAATGATAATAATAGTAATGATATATTCCAAAAAATTATATTACCACAAATTATAAATACTAGCACAAATGCTGCCCTATGGGCAACTGTTTATGCTAGTAATTACTAATTGTAGTGATAAACTGTAATGTTTTTATATACAAAAAATGGTACCATTTATTGACCAAATAATAGTTTTTAAAGAACTCCAGTTTCTCAGTGCTACAACTAAAAATTACATCAATAAAGATATAATCAAACCCTCATGGACAGTCCTAGTGAAACTTGTGTTGTTGTGAGAAGAGTATTTTTATTTAAAATTGTGTTCTATTATAAAGAAGTGGTTGTATCACATAACACATTTTTCTAATTGTCTGAATCTGTAATACACAAAATTTTTTTTATGGATTTCTGTTTGTGGTGCCATTCAGTAGATGGCAAGAGTTTTCGTTACATACATAGATACTGACATACAAGTTATGTTCATTATAGTAAGATATAAACAATATAAATCATGAAATTGCATGCTTATCAATAATGACAATATTCATGGTCATGAATTATGTACTGCGGGGTATCTACTAATAATAAGATCTAGTATTTCGAGAATTGTTCCCGGCAGCTTGTACGTTGTACTATTACACATGCTAATTGACCCCATACAAGAATGACAATCAATTTATATTTTTCCACTGTAAAAATTAAAACTTTTATTCAAATCATTTCATCAAGCATGAAGACAAGTCAACTCATAACTTACTATTGCTTATTCTCTACAACAAGTGAGGTGATTGTAGTTCATTAACATTCAAATTTTTAGACTGCCGGGTATTTATTATTTGAAAGATCGTTCACGGCTGCCGGATTTCTCTCTAGCCATTGCATTCAACTTTTAAAATTAAAGTTTAAATTTCAGGACTTAACATATGATCTGGAATCGCTTAATTCTTGCAATATAATAAAAATACTTAATTCGAAACACAAAAGATCAACCTCAAAATTTCCAATTGTTTATTTTTAAAATATGACATTTTAAATTTGAATTCAATTTATGATGATTTTATCACGTATCGTTCACGACTCCGTGATATTAAAGTATTAAAACTACGACGTCATATTACTATTACAATTAGTCGTAATGTTGAAAAGAAAACCTGAATAAATTTATTCTGATAATTTTGCGTTACTGATTCATTGAACTTTACCACAGTCATTGCACTTTTCTCATCCCTCAAAAGCAAGAGTTGGGCAATGGTAATACTAATAATAATAATGAATAAAGTTTAAAACTGTCATTAACAAAGTGAATCTTTAGAAACTTCTTTAGAAAATAATTAAATTTAAAATGACCAAAGTGTACTACTTACTTTATAATTTATTTATCAAAAAACTTCCGACTTTAACTAATATTTAGAACCTGCGCAACTCGTTACAACTATGAATAATAACAGTACGTAAATAACACAAAGGCAAATTTATCACAATAACATAACATTACAGACTAAACCAAGTTATGCTGACAAATCTTCGAATAATAATATTATCCCATCATGCAGTAGAAACGCTGCAGTTGAAGTGCTGCCTTCCATTACACTGAGTAAGTAATTCATCAAGCAATTGCAATATTATTCTCAGTACTTTTTATTTTCAAACTAATTCGTTTGATTTAACAAGTTTGTTTGTTTGTTTTTTAAAGTTAAACACAAAGCAACACAACAGGCTATCTGTGCTCTGCCCACCGCGGGTATCGAAACTCGGTTTCTAGCGTTGTAAGTCCACAGACATACCGCTGTGCCACTGGAGGGTTGATTTAACAAATAATATTTATGAAATATTTGGTTGGTGTTGTGTTTAAATGTTGCAATCTATGGAATTCAGTGTACTCATTTATGGAAGAAGACTGGGAAGCACGAATACAAATAAGTTTTTCAATTCATCGACTGGAATAATACCCGTGTTTACACCTTAGTACAATTGTTATAACAAAAACGATTCTTTGAAAACATATTGTTACGTCTCCGTTTGTTAATTGATTTCCTGTAAATTCGTTCCAACGAAACTTTAGCGACACAAGTCCTTACTTAATAAAACTGGTTTATTCTTTCCGAATATAACTTTACGATACACTTATTTTCAACAGTCGCTCTATAACAAACTCTATAACAACGACGTTAACTTCAACAATACTTTCTGACTGCAGATCAATTACTCACTGTCTACACACACATTGTCCAGTCACGTTGTGACCATCTTTTATATACCAGACTACCCTATATCTAGTAAATGCTAGGACATTCACCAAGGTACAGGATAGTTCTAGAAACGTGGCGTGACACTAGTCATGTGACCTTGCTAACGCAACACAGCCCCTTCCTTAGTATTGTTCACAAAATTACAATTCAACAAAGTCTCTTAATTTTACGGGACGTATCTTCTTCCGTACTGGTCTCAGTCTCGTTGGCTTCTGCTTC